ATTTTCTACATTTGGGCTAACTTATATCTCTTGGTTTCACAACAAAAGGCAACTTGTCTTTTCACACATAATAACCAAGCCCTAAAACTAATGTCTTTTATCTCCTTTTCTCTTACGTCCATCTACCTCAGAGGAGCACCTGAATAACAGAGCCCCTCGAAGCTCAAAAACTGATGCCGTTAAAGAGGGACCAGGGTCTACACATTTCTTTCTCTTAATCTATATTCTTCTCCTTTCATATATTTTCTAATTTTCTAGTAACAAAAGCAAGGGTTGTTGATGTGTAATGGCTGAATAACGGGTTGTAATGCCTCTGTAACACCCATTATGAGCGTGAAATTTTTATTGGCTGTTAAATCGAGGTGTAATGTTATCGTCAACCTCCATTACTGTTACGTAATGATCGTTACTATTATGTAATGGCCAATTTTCCAAACCATGGTAGTGGGTATCGGTGTAGAAAGGAAGATTTGTGAAAAACTGGTTGGAAAACCCCACTTTATAGCCACAAAACCAGCATCAGTGGGTTGATTGTAACGCCCCAAAATCCACCTTGGACTGCATTACAATCTATAAACCATTCACACCATGAGAGCAACTAAATAATTTCATCATTAAAGAAATTTCAACCATCAAATATAATATTTACAATATTATCCCAAAACAATAAGCAAACCATGACCTTTACATTCCAAAAGAATGTGATCGACTATGATAATTATATCCTAAAAGAATCACATTTAAACTTGCAGCGGAATAACAAAAGGTCAATCTTTACAAAATCTCAAAAGAAATTTTCTAGTCTAGCACCTAGGAGAGTATAACTCTAGACATCCACCTCGGGATCCATGAGCCCGTCTAATGGAGCTTCCCAATGTGTCGGCTCCTTAACCCCGAGCTCTTCCTCCAGACCACAATCTAAAAAATATGATTTGTAGGGGGGGGGGGTGAGCACTAAGCTCTATAACAACATTCCTCCCAAACTTGAACAAGGTTTATAAAAGCATATAAAAATGGTCGGTCACTTTTCGCAAATAGCATATATGAATTTTTCAATAAAACATGGACATTTAAATAGATCTCAAGTTTAAGCAACAACAATAATTTAATGCATAAGTGAAGCCAATATACAACTAATAATTCATTCCACCATAAACCATTTCTCCCAAGTTTTTGCGGAATCCCATACTTCCCAAAATTCTTGTAGAAACTATCTCTGGTACAATGAATAATAACCCACCACTGTATTCATATCTCTGGTATGAAGTAAGACCTCGCATGGATACCATCNTTTACTACCTATTGACTACTAGTAGTTCGGATCCACTGGACAGCATACTACCTGTAGGTCATATCCAAATTTGACTATTTCCTCTATTTTTCATTTCAAACCCATTCCAAACCTTTCCAAATCCAACCCAAGATTATCCAATATGTTGTTGTATATCAAACCTAGTTGGTACAAGTTCTATTACAACGATTTCATAAATTTGCAAGTTAAANTCCTTTCATATATTTTCTAATTTTCTAGTAACAAAAGCAAGGGTTGTTGATGTGTAATGGCTGAATAACGGGTTGTAATGCCTCTGTAACACCCATTATGAGCGTGAAATTTTTATTGGCTGTTAAATCGAGGTGTAATGTTATCGTCAACCTCCATTACTGTTACGTAATGATCGTTACTATTATGTAATGGCCAATTTTCCAAACCATGGTAGTGGGTATCGGTGTAGAAAGGAAGATTTGTGAAAAACTGGTTGGAAAACCCCACTTTATAGCCACAAAACCAGCATCAGTGGGTTGATTGTAACGCCCCAAAATCCACCTTGGACTGCATTACAATCTATAAACCATTCACACCATGAGAGCAACTAAATAATTTCATCATTAAAGAAATTTCAACCATCAAATATAATATTTACAATATTATCCCAAAACAATAAGCAAACCATGACCTTTACATTCCAAAAGAATGTGATCGACTATGATAATTATATCCTAAAAGAATCACATTTAAACTTGCAGCGGAATAACAAAAGGTCAATCTTTACAAAATCTCAAAAGAAATTTTCTAGTCTAGCACCTAGGAGAGTATAACTCTAGACATCCACCTCGGGATCCATGAGCCCGTCTAATGGAGCTTCCCAATGTGTCGGCTCCTCAACCCCGAGCTCTTCCTCCAGACCACAATCTAAAAAATATG